TTCACTGTACTTATTCAATCTATATGTTGAGCAAATAATCTGAGAAGTTAGATAATATACAAAGAATATCACACCAGGGTTGGATGAAGACTCATTAACAACCTGCAATATGTAGATGACACAAAATTTCTTGTTGAAAGTAAAGATGACTTAAAGCATTCACTGATGAAAATCAAAGACTACAGACCTCAAGATGGATTACACCTCAACATAAAACAAAAATCCTCACAACTAGATCAATAAGCACTATCATGATAAATGGAGAAAAGATTGAAGTTGTTAAGCATTTCATTTTACCTCAGTCAACAATCAACATCTACGGAAGCAGCAGTCAAAAAATCAAACACAGCATTGGGCAAATCTGCTACAGAAGACCTCCGTAAAGTGTAAAAGAACAAAGATGTCATTTTCGAGACAAAGGTGCACCTGACCAAAACCATGGTATTTTCAATAATCTCATATGCAAGTGAGTGCTGGACAATGAATAAGAAAGACCACAGAAGAAATGATGCATTTCAAGTGTGGTGTTGGCAAAGAATATTGAATATACCACAGACTGCTATAAGAGCTAACAAATCTGCAGAGCTGAAATGGTCCTTAGAAGTGAGAATACTTTGGTCATGTTGTCAGAAGGGACTAGTCCCTGGAGAAGGATATCATGCCAGTAAAGTAGAGTGTCAGCAAAAAAGGAGAAGTCCCTTAACAGGATGGATTGACATAGTGGCTGCAATGATGAGTTCAAGCATGGGTACTATTGTGAAGATGACGCAGGAATGGGCAGTATCTCATCCTATTGTACACAGAATCACTATGACTCAAAATCGACCTCATGGCACTGAACATCACATATGAAATTGTAAGACAAACCAAGATTTGAGTAAAATAGAGATAATGATTTTTGGCTTCTGGCCTGATCTAAGCACGTAGGATCTGCATTTAAAAGTCATAGGCTTTGGGTCCTGGGAATGTTCGTACCTGACACTCGTTAGTTCTATTCCCATTGTCTCACTGTAATAGGCAAAAGAGCATATATAAATTGCTTAGTGCCACCTGGGTTATTTCACTCCTGACACAGCATTCAGTTGCATGACCTTCTAGTCAGTAGTGAAAGAAAATAAATGGAAGAGTCCGCCAAGATTGTAGCAAAGCCCAATAGAAAGAAAAATCTTAATTCTTCCTTCATGTCATTTACTGAAATATCTTATAATTTATTTCCTTGATACACAGATAAAACATTTTCTGTTAAATTTTTTTATGTCATTTATTCACAAAATATCCATTGATCCCCTTCTACTATATCAGGATTTTGCTAAGGGATGAGTATACACCAGTGAACAAACCAGGTAACTTGTACAAAAAGTTAGGTTGTTGTTAGGTGCCAGTGAGTTGTTTCTGATTCATAGTGACTCCATGCACAGCAGAATGAAACACTGCCTGATCCCGCACCAGCTCCATGATCCCTGCTATATTTGAGCCCATCATTGCAGCCACCATGTCAATCCATCTTATTGAAGGCCTCCCCCTCTTTCGTAGACCCTCCACCTTACTAAGCATGACATCCTTCTCCAGGGAATGGTCCCTTGGACAACATGACCAAAGTAGGTGAGATGAAGTCTGGCCATTCTCACTTCCAAAGAGCATTTTGGGTGCACTTCCTCCAGGACAGATCTGTTCTTTTAGCAGTCCATGGTACTTTCAGCATTCTTTGCCACCATCACAACTCAAAAGCATCAACTCTTCTTCAGTCTTCCTTATTCATTGCTCAGCTCTCACATGCATACGAGGCAATTGGAAATATCATGGCTTGTGTCAGGCACACCTCAGTCCTCAAGGAGACATCCTTATTCCTTAGCACTTGAAACAATTCCTTCATGGTTGACCTTCCCAGTGCTACATGTTGTCTAATGTCTTGACTGATGCTTCCATTGGCATTGATTGTAGAACGAAGCAACATGAATTCTTTGACAACCTCAATCTTCTCTCCATTTATTGTGATGCTGCTCATTGGTCCAGTTGTGAGGATTTTTGTTTTCTTTACATTGAGATGTAATCCATACTGCATACCGTATTCTTCAATCTTCATCAGTAAGTGCCTCGAGTCTTCCTCACTTTCAGCGAGCAAAGTTGTATCATCTGCATATCTCAGGTTGTTAATGATTCTTCCTCCAATCCTGATACCACGTTTTTCTTCATATAGTCCAGTTTCTCGGATTATTTGCTCAGCATATAGATTGAATAAGTATGTGGAAAGGATACAACCCTGACACACTCCCTTCTTGATTTTAAACCATGTGGTGTCCCCTTGTTCTATTTGAACAACAGCCTCCTGGTCAAGGTACAGGTTCCTCATGAGTTCAATCAAGTGTTCAGGAATTCCCATTCTTCTCAATGTTATCCATAATTTGTCATGATCCACCCAATCAAATGCCTTTGCATAGTCAACAAAACACAAGTAAACATCTTTCTGGTATTATTTGCTTCAGCCAAGATCAATCTGACATCAGCAATGATAGGGCTCATCCCATGTCCTCTTCTGAATCCAGCTTGCTCCTCTGGAAGTTCTCTGTCAATATACTGCTACAACGTTTCTGAATTATCTTCAGTAAGATCTTACTTGCATGCAATATTAATGGCATTATTCAATAATTTCCACATTCTGTGGAATCACCTTTTTTTGGAATGGCTTCAAACATGGATCTCTTCCAGTCAGTTGGCCAGGTAGCTGTCTTCCAAATCTCTTGGCATAGCCCAGTGAGGGCCTCCAACGAGGCATCTGTTTGTTGAAATATCTCAATGAGTATTCCGTCAATTCCTGGAGCCTTGGTCTTCACCAATTTTCCCATTGCAGCTTTGACTTCCTCCTTCAGTACCATTGGTTCTAGATCATATGCCACTTCCTGAAACGGATGAAGACCGACCAGTTCTTTTTGGTACAGTGACTCTGTGTATTCCTGCCATCTTCTCTTGATGTTTCCTGCATCATTCACTATTTTGCCCATAGAATCTCTCAATATTGCAACTCGAGGCTTATTTTTTTTTCTTCAATTCTTTCAGCTTGAGAAATGCTGAGCATGTTCTTCCCTTTTGGTTTTCAAACTCCAGGTCTTTGCACATTTCATTATAGTAATTGGTTTTGTCTGCTCTAACTGCTCTTTGAAATATTCTGTTCAGCTCTTTTATCTTGTCATTTCTTCCCTTTGATTTAGCTACTCTCCACTCAAGGGCAAATTTCAGAGTCTCTTCTGTCATCTATTTTGGTCTTCTCTTCTTTTATAGACATATAAATAAAAAATTAGTGATAGGTTATAGGAAAGAAGCGAACAGGTTCTATAACAGCATGATATGGTAGGGAAGGGGCAGGAAATCAGGGACTTAGGAAAACAAATCCAAAGGGACCATTATGAGCAAATAATCTCAAGTTTAATGTTATTATTCAGCTTCGTTTCTCCTATCCATTTTCCAATAGCCTTCCATCCCAGTTATTGTCAGATTCTAATTTTGTCATAGAGAACCTGAAAGGGCAAGGTTAATGAGAAGTGAATGCATGTTTGTCCTTCATCTAATATATCCCCAGTTGTTTCCATTACAGATGCATTTTTACTTCTTGAAATGGCCAAAATCGAGATAGTGCATGGGCTGTTATTCTAGCGATAGACAATCTCATGATATCAATATTATCATATACTATGTAAGATTAGAATGCACAGAGGTAGGTATTGGGAAGGATGTAAGATATGATTCCTACTACAAAGATGTTAACTTTTTATGTGAGATCTATGTAAATGGAAAATAGGAGAGTATGTTGTATGAAGGCATATTCCTGGCATAGTATGTGCAACGTAGCAGTTCTGTTGAAAATTCACTACTTTGTCAGATATAGACTTTGTCTCCTCATTGAACCAGAGTGCACTGAAATGATAGCCTCCCTTGTTTGCCAGTGTGCCAAAGAATTTGGACCCAGTAACTAACACCATTCTCTTCATCTGTTTTGGCTCCAAGGACACATCTCTTCTGTAAATGAATGTCAACATGTCCTTGTCTTTCCATTAGGGTCTATATTCATCCCCCAAACTACCCCTGTGTTGCCATAGAAACAGCCTTTGTTTTTAGTCAAAGTTTTAGGCCTTTCTTCATTTTGGCACCTCGCTGTTTCTCTTTCACTTGTGCTCAGCCTTATATTATTTTTTTGTTGTTGTTATATTTTCATGAGCATTTTGAGGGAACAATTGGGACTGTCTGTTGTAGTTCAATTTGCTTTCTAAAGCAGAAATCCACCAATGCAAAAGTTTGGAGCCTTATTTTCTTTATAGTAAAATAGTAATAATAATGGCAGTTTCATAGAGATTTGAAAGGATCAAATTGTCTCTTATGTGTGAAAGTATTTGAAATACTGTGATCATTATTGTGATCACATGCTAACATTGTGATCATATGGTAATATACTAATTTAAGAAAATGTTAATATTATTTACTATCATATCAGATTAACTCTGATCACTTAAAAAATCCAGAGGAAATGAAAGCTTTATCAGAGACAAATTTCTTCCTCTCAATACATGAGGAAATTGAGTTGAGATAGATATTTATATGAAAAATGCAGGGGCCTACATTGCTAACAGGGGGATTCTAAATCTAGGACACTGATGCTAACAGAAAGATAGTAGGTTTCTAAGAAGAACATTTCTACTTCAGAGTGAGCCTAGAATACATTTCCTTGTAAACTATTACTATAGAAATCACATCAGTTTAAGGGTAAAATAAGATATGTCTCTGAATTTGAGTCTTCAACATATATCATGAAATGCATTACCCTCTTGAAAAATACCTTGTAATTAAACAGTGTTTCCTACAGGAATTTATAACTTAGGAAATTACTTTCAAAAACAAATATGTATTTGTATGGCCAGTGAGTGTGGGACAGAGAAAAGGGAGAATGGAAGCAGACAAATAATGACCAGAAGCAAATGTAAAATGCTTGCTGCCTCCTTGTTTTTCCCTAGGAATCACAGATGAAAGCAATGAAGGAGACAGTACAACTCTGCCTGACCTCTGTTTTTCGTGACCAACCAGCCCCTTTGAGTTTAATCACATCAAATCCAACTCAGACTTTCCTTCCACCAAGGACAATTGACTCTAAGATTCAAGACCCAATGACAAAAAACAAGGTAAGCAAGGTCTACTTTATTCTAGCTTTGAATAGTAAAATCAAGTACTCTGCTTCTTTGATATTTCATTCTATCAGATCATCAGAGTGGAACCAGAGAATATAAAATTCATTGAAAGTTTACAAAGTAAATCGAGATTGTAACCTGCTGTGTAAGGTCTCAATTGTAACTTTGAAAATGTTGGAAGGCAGCTTTTCTTCATAGTTGTTTCATAGGGAAGGTCATATAAGTGTATAAACAAACTAACATATAATGATATGATCATTATAAACAGTTTCTCCTGAAATATAAATATGATCATTATAAACATGGATAATATTTTATTTATTTATTTCTTTTAAGCCCATAATTTTCAACCCTTGCTGACCAATAAAATCTTTGGAGAAATTGTGAAGAATATCCTGACAATAGGACCTACCACAAACCTAATAAATCAGATCATTGGGGGCTGCCTTTCACTCCTCTGTAGTTCTAAAATACTCCCAGGTGATTTTAATGTGTATCCAATATGTGACTCTGACGTAAGTAAAATTTCTTCCAAATCAAACCCCCATAATTACATTACTTCAGGCGGGACAATTGAGCACTGCAGTGTTGCTTTTGTTTCCATTTTCAGAGACTTCAATCTGTGGACTACAAATGTCAATGAATATTGATTACTAAAATTGTGATGGGAAAGAGGAGTTAAGTTTCAAGTAGCATATTTGAAAGTGTTTTTTTAATCACTTACCTGAGAATAACTTGCAGTTAAAATAATATAGATACCAACCCAACTTGTAAATGTACATATCTAGGGCTCCTAACCAAAAGGGTGGTGATTCAAACCCACAAGCTGATCTGCAGAAGAAAGACGATCTTCTGTAAAGATTTACAGCTTTGGAAACCCAATGTGGGTCGCTGTGAGTTGACATCAACTCCATGGCAGTAAGGTTTTTGTTGTTTTGTTTTTAGAGATGGGCCCAGAAAATCTGAGACCAACTGGTGAAAATTCTTGGGGATGAGTTCCATCTGGGGCTCTCTCTCCCTCTCTCTGATTATTCCTGTGATTCCTTGTATTTGTGTACAAGAGGCTGCATAAGAAATTGTAAATCAGGGAAATACTATTTTCAGGATAGAGAGAGTCTAAAAGAAGTTAAGTTTAATGACTTAATGTTCCCTTTTATCTGTAACTAGTCAGTTATATAGGGAGCTCTGGTAGCACAGTGGCTAAGGCACTTAACTGCTACCAGAAGGCTGGCGGTTCAAACCCACCAGCCACTCCTCGGAAGGAAGATGGGGCAATCTACTTCCGTAGCGATACTGCCTCAGAAACCCAAGGAGGGGTCGCTATGGGTTGGGGCCCATTCGACGGCGCATAACAACAACAACAACAAGTGGTGCCAGAGTTAAGAGCTCATCTTCTAAGTGGGTCGAGGGTTCCAACCCACTAGGCACTTCACAGGAGAAAGATGTGGCAGTCTGCTTCTGTAAAGATTATGAACTTGGAAACACTGTGGGGCAGTTCTAGTCCATCATGTGTGCTTGCTGTGAGTTGGAATGAACTTGATGGCAGTGGCTTTAGTGTTTTTGTTTTTAGTCAATTACATGCACTACACAGATATTGCTTATTGTGGTAGTTAAGGTTGTATGTCAACTTGACCTGGCTGTGGTTCTGAGTGTCTTGCAGCTGGATGGAGTTATTCTCCATCATGAGATTGTAGTCACCTCCATGATGGTATCTGCTGTGAGACGTTGATCAGTGGAAAAAATGCTGCTTTCAGGAGTGTGGCCTGCTTCCCATACATAGGGAAAAGCTTTGGGGCTGGTCCCTAGCTTTTTGATATGTTTGGATCTTGCAGTTGTCTGAGTCTTCATCTTCAGTTCCTGGACTTAAATCAGTGGTTGACCATGTTGCCTACTGACCTTGGGATTGTGCCATTTTATCAGACAACCTTGGATTCCATAGCCTCAGCAGTCATCCACCATCTGAGAAGACCACTCTAGTCCAGTGGGCATGGAATAAGAGGCAGAGAGGAAGACCAAGGTTGAGCTGCCTTCACCCAGCACCTTGAGCAGATACTCTGAATTTGTACTTCTAGTTTCCTGAACTGTAAAAGAATAAATTAATGTTTGTTGAAGCCATCCATTTGTGGTATTTCTGTTATTGACTGACACACTAGAGAACTAAGACAGTTATGTTGTCAGAAGAGACCAGTCCCTAGAGAAGGATATCATGCTTGGTAAAAGTAGAGAATCAACAAAAAAATGGAAAACCCTCAACAAGATAGATTGACATGGTGGCTGCAACAATGGGCTCAAATATAATACAGATTGTGAGGCTGTTGCAGGACTGGGCAGTGTTTCTGGATAGCACCTAACAACAACACACAGATACACTCTGCATGATTTTACTATAAAATTTTTTAATGTTTTTCTGTCAAAATAATTTAAAATACCTGTTTCTATCTGTCTCATTATTTGCTTTGATTGTGTTATATACTGAAGGGCCTCTAAAAATGTTGAAGCTACTTATTTTTCTCCTTTATTTTTCCTGCTTTTTTTTTTGAAACCTCTAGATCTAACTGTTTCACTTTTTAAAATTCAGTCAAGAAAGTTACATAATAATGTTTTGTTTTGTTGTTTTAATGCTCATGAAAATATTGGGTAAAATATTTGAACCTGGTAACTGGTAAAATTAATACCTACCTACCCATCCTCACATACCTACAGAGGAGGCAAACACTAACTCCATTCAGTGTTAGTCTATTAGAGAAGAGCAAAGATCCGGTCTCATTAAGTTCAATGACTTTGAACAGAGAACTTTTGCAATATAATGGACATGATACATTTGTCTTCATCTCAGAGTATATGTGGAACAACCCATCATTAAAACAAGGCTCTTTTGATTCTAAATATGTGGGGAAATTATTTTGTTTAATCTGCTTTGCTATTAATATATGTATGTCCTGTCACTGAAATAAATAATAAATGTTATTTCTCTTGATACATCACAAAAAAAGATAGGAAGCATTTAGATGACACTGTTTTGGAGATCTTTCACTTTCCAAAACACAATAGCAAAATCAAAAAGGAGTTCCAGTAAGATGGCAGACTAGGCAGAAAGACTGCACAGACCCTCTTCAACAAAGAAAAGGGAAACCAATTCACACAGACACAGAAGATAATTCTGGACCCCTGAGCCTTGAAGGGAAGGATGTAGAAGTGAACTAAACCCCAACTAGCAGAAGAATTTCCATGAAAATACCAAAAAAAGAGACAGATGGAGCTGCGATCTGGCAGCAAACCTGAGCGATCTTGACAGCACGGCATAGACAGCTTGGAGATTCCCGAGTGGTGGTAAGACCTAAGAATTAACCTAAAAATCAGTCCTGCTAGCCAGAGACTGCACAGAGGACTGCTCTGGTGGCTGGAGAATAAACGGAGAAGGTGAAGAGAAAGGCAAGTTGAGCTGTGGACTTTTGCCGGTTCGGAGGTCGCTGTCATTTTGAAGGTTTACAAGCAGCTTGACTGTTTTGGATATTTATAGAGACCATGCTGTCCAAGATTCCAGGGGCTTAAGAACATGTTCTGCTTGCCAGCAACCCCAAGGACACTCAGGACCTGCAAGACTGAAAAGGTGCAACATTCCTCTTGTTACCCTTACCCCATACCCCATACCCACTTGGTGAATGGAGGTGTGGCCATCACCCACTCTTACCTACCTTCTGGGCCCACAGGAACTGCATCACAGTCTGTGTGCTCAGATGAAGTCTGGGTGCCCTGCCCTGTCCTCAACTGATTTTTTATTCTCTTTTTATATTTTTATTTATTAATTTTTTCTTTCTTTTTTGCTTTATTTTTTTCTGATGATTAGTTTGCTTGTATTTGTCTGTTTTAAAACAACTATTGTTATTAATACTTTTGTCCTTTTTACTATTATTCTTATTCTCCCCCCACCCCCAGGTCCTAGTTTTCAGCTTTTTTTCTTTTACTTGTTCCTGGTTGAAATTCTTTTTTTTAAATTAATTTATTATTTTTTTCTTTCCCCTTTTTTCTTGTGGTTAACCCCATTCTTTGTTATTATTTTTGCATTTTTCCCATTTTTTTCTTCATTATTCTCCTTCTCTACCTTTCTTGTCTTAGTGCGCTATCCCAAGATATTGCAGGTTTTCTTGTTTTTTCTTCTTCTTTTTCACTTTTTTTTTCTTGTTTTTGGCTACTGTACCTGTGTGATTGCATGGTGTGTTTTTTGTCCATGGGCTTTTAGTTTTTTGATCATTATGTAATCGTAATTTTTGTCTAACTGAGTGGGAGATAGTAATAGTCCCCATGAGACACAACTACACCCACACCTCCTCCAACTTCACTTACTGAGTGAGAGCCACTACATCCTTCTCTACCAACGGGCCAATGATAAAAAACCACCAAGAAGAGACTGAATCACCCTTGGCTGCTCTTCACAAACAGGAAACAGAGATCTATATACAACAACGCCATGATGCCTTGGAGACAACAGACCATCACAGTCCACCCAAAGAGGCAGGATAAAGTGGTAGAAATAAGGGAACAGGTTACAGACCCAGAACACAACCCTGAGGAAGAAACAGCATTGGAACTGTCTGATAAGGAATTCAACAGAATTATATTTATGTATCTTCAAAGGATTGAGAAACAGACCAAAGAAAACAGAAAAAAACCCTAGAAGAAATTTGGAAGAAAATACAAGAAGAAAATGACAAAATAAATGAAAAATTAGAAATGATTCTAAATCTACAGAGAGAAATACAGAAGATTAATACTAAATTGTCAAAAATAGATAACACATTGGAAGGGCATAGGAGTAGAATTGATGCAATGGAAGACAGAATTAATGAGATTGAAGAAAAATACCTCAATACTTCTTTGGAAAGGGATCAATCAGAAAAAAAATC